CCCGGCGCGGCGCGACCCCGTCGATGTGGATAGGGCCCTTCCTCCCAGCGACCGTATGTGGCGGCCGGGGACAGTGCTGCTGGTCTGCGCTGAAAGCCTTGGACACACCGGGCTACATCTTGCAGGCTCGTAGAAAAAGTAATAAACATGTTATTTCTGTACTGTGACAACTGGGCTAGCTGAAGCTGTCTGACCCAGTGTGGTATTTCTTATGTAAATATTTAGTAGGAAATTCAAGGATGTTTCACTGTAATGAAGGTTACCTTTACTTACAGATTTCCTCTTATTTAGGTTGAAGCTTAAAAGGATCGTGAGGTGCTGGGGGGAGGGGTGGAAGGCGTTGGAGGGTTGCTTACATACTATAGAAGCATTATTACTCAATTATTTGCTATTTAATTGATTACATTTGAAAAAATTTCTCAAAGTGATATAACCATAACTGTAGCAGTAAGTATTTGAGCATTAATTCTGTACAAAATCTAGTAACACACGTTTATTGCATCCACACTCAGTACTAAACTCGTATTGATTTGCATGTGTACAGAATGGTTGCTGACTTGATTCCTCTTACAATGTAAGCTTAAAACCTGGCTATTTGTGGACGAATTCCAGTTTCCATTCTCAGCTCCCTGGGAGATTTGGCCTTAATTTTAGTAACCGCTAGCCACTAATACTGCCTCAAACAATTTCTACTACTTAACATACAAATTTCATGTATAATATATGATACAGCACATAGCCCCTACCTATAAATTATGAGGCAGATGCATAATGCATTATAGGATATTAAAACGTGGACACTTTTAACATCTAAACAGGCTCCTGCTTTCACAAATTGAGAACTCAATCCAGCATTGTATGTAGAAAACTTTCAATGACTTCTTTGGGAATTGTGTCCCAGGAATGTAATATCAAGTCTCCTCGCAGTCAGATTGAATAGATGCAACAGATTTCGTAACAATCTGAGAGCATATATGGTCAGAAAAATGACTGTATAAAAATGGAACTTTCTTACTCATCATATACTCTTCGTATCTCTGATACTGACTCATAATTGCTTAGTTTACCAACTAAAATAAAACTTTAGGCTCCTGTTAGCTTGGCAGTTGCTGACACAATTATGGTACAGCAAGCTGGAGCATATTCTGGCTCTTCCATTTTCTTTACTGAGTTCCAGTTGAAAAATTTTAATTAGTATTTGAGCCAGAGAGAGCACAGCATGACTTGAAAATCTCAGGTCCAGTTTGTAGCGTTATCAGTCCTAAGAAGCCTCTCTTTATTTATAAACTAAGCAATTGACGCATTGAAAATTTTAAAGACGAAAATAAAACAGCAGTGTTGAACTGAAGCCATCTTTAGTCAATGTCCACAGTGGAACTGTGTAAATGATAACACTGCTCCCTTTTTATCTCACTGAATATGCCCTATTCATGTGTACTAACGTTCAATCAAATAATTCTCCTGTTTTGAGACCACATGTGTTTTACAGTGCCCCCCCCACACCAATTTTAATTATGTGGCAGATCTGGTTGGATTCAGCACCTGCAAGTCCTTCCTTTGGGAGCTCCAATTAGCTTACAATACATGTACTTTATCGCATTCTTTAAACAAAAATATTGTTTCATCTTAACAACAGGAATATGAAAATGTAGAATTAAAAAAGGGTCTTAACATGGTAAGCAATGCATATCCTGTTTATTAATCTATCTTCCATAAGCTTATGGGGAAAAGTGGTAATCCTGAAACCTAATTTCTTCAGATTCGCAGCAGATGTCTGTCCTGTGTTAGTCTCTTTCCTTACAAACAGCTGTTTCATAAATGCCTCCCCTTGTCTCTACAGAATGCCTTTTGTTTAATAATTTCCTGATATGTTATCTTCCAGTCCCGCTAACACAAGCATTTTAACTTTTTTGGTATGTATAAGTAGATTCTTTGTAGTTTAATAGACAGGTTTTGTCTTTGAAGAATCTAGCTAAAGCTATTCTGTTGCCTTTCAGTTAGTTTCCTAACAGGAGTTCTATTTAACTGAGCAAATATATATGCATATAATAAACACTTCCAAAGTATTTTTAATATTAATTATTATAGATATGCTTCAGAATATGCTTCATTAAGTAAAGTCTGTAAAATCCAATAACGCTGCTTGGAGTAGTGATAACAATCTGAAGTCTGGGAGGCACAGCACATAAAGTGCAGCCCTCTAGTGGTAGAGGTCACAGGTAGTTTAAAGCAAGTTGTGTTTTATCTTGGATGCGGGTGGGGGGGAGGGAAATAGCTTTTAGCAAAACACGAGCCACCTAGAACACTGCCCTGTATTATATCAGCCTCTTATATTGCTTATGGTCTAAAGGGCAAGCGAAAATAGCTGTGGAGGCCTATACTACAACTTTGCTCCTACTCTCGTAATTTCTATGGAATAAGGACCAGTGGAAGAGTAACAAAGTCTGTATCAACAGAATATTCTTTTTTTTTCCTGTCTGATCTTTTGCTCAGGTTTCCTTTTCCAGCCAGCTCTAGACTAGCCTATTTAACCAATGGTTGTTCAAGCCATTTTGGGATATTGATTCCTTTTCCTGTTTTTTTTCAGTTATGGCATCTTTTCAGCTAATATGTTCTGTAACTTCAGTAGTAGTTCAGTGATAGTATAGAATACAAAATCAACTTGCCAACCTTATTTCTAAAAACACACTTGGCTGGTGAAGGTGTGGATGGTAGTGTTCAAACTAATCTCTCCCACAGACATGAGAGCTGTGCTTAGAAATGAAAGAGATTAGGGAGAGGCAAAACTAAAAAATAAATATAAATTTTAATGAATAGAAATCCCCAGAATAACTGAGCTAAAGTTCTAGTAAACATCAACTAATCTGATGAAGTCCACTGAGCACCAGTAGATATGAATTAAAAGGATTAATGTTTCCATTGTATTAGGGCCTTTTTCAGGTTTTAGCAAGTCAACGAAGACCTTTGGAAACATACTCATCCTTCTGTTTCTTCTACAGGTGGTGGATATTTCTGTTCTGGATGATAGAATGCACGGTTCATTTTTCACCTCATAGGAAATATGTCAGAGCCCAATAATTATTAGATGAAAAATGATACCTCTTAAACATCCTATCTAGGTAAAAGAAAACAGATTTGTGTTTCATCCAAAATGATGAGGCAATTGTTAGCATTTTTTCATTACCAAAGGATAGCTGTGATTCCTGACAAGCTTTTGCTGCACTAAAATTATAGTTATGAACTCAAAACATAATTTTCTCTTTCAAGTCTTTAACTTCTGCCTTTCATAAGTTTATGAAACTTGTTTCCACAATAACAGTTAAATTATTATTGATTACATTATGTGATTTTTTTTTTGCTTGTTCATCTAAATATTGCACAAATTGTTCATCAGAAAATATTTTGCAGTTTCAGTGGAATTTCTCCTGGATCACACCAGTGTTAATCTTAGGAAAATCAAGCTCCATTTGGAAAAAAAGCTAAATATTTATTTCATTTAGACATTTGCTGCTGATGTCATGGACCGGATTATCTAATTTGCAGTATTTATGTTCCCTTTATTTGCATCCATATTACATGCATTGCCCAACTAGTAGCCAAGTGATTATGGCTGCACTCTTCACAGAATAGAGTACAGACCCTATCATATTGTAGACCATTGCACTGTAGTAGCTTTCTTTGCCAGTAAATTGAGGAAGGTAACTTAACAAACAGTAATAATTTGACTTTAGTATTTATCATGAAATAAATACATTAGCCAAAACTCCCAGCTTAGAAATGAAAGGAGAGAGTGTGTGTGGGAAAGTAATGGCCATTTCTGCTCTTTGGGCAGAGGGATCATCTGCCTCCTCTCACTTCCAGAATATATACCAAAATTTGCAAAATTTTGGGGGAGCTTTGTTCAGGAATACAGAATTGAATTCTTCATTCCCAGTTCTTCATTTCTGAATCTGTAGACCAATTTTCTAAGCTATTCTTCTGTTATTCATGTTTTGGGTTACCTGAGAACTTGTCCGGATCTCAGAGTAAAAATAAAGTAACCTCAGGACAAGATCGTATTTCAGCCCTTCCGAGCAAATGACTGGGTGAATCAGGGCATGATCCATGAAATTCCAGAGGCCAGAGAATTGCTCCCAAAAGGCATCTCCATTTTGACATTTCTGTACAGTAATTTAAAGACCCTTTTTTTTTTCTTAGAATGAAAGAGAGAAAACTTGATTTCAGTTGACTTTGAATAATATTCTTCTTCTTTTCTGTTTCTTTTCAAATACTGAAATAGCTAATTCACTGCTTAGAACTGGTACAAACCAGGAGTAATTTCACTGGAATAAAATGATGTTGTAGACATAGAATGTGAAAAATAACAGGATCACTTTGTATGGCCTTATGTCACTTTACAGTGATACTGATTTTGTACCTCTTAGCACTGTCTCACAAAGGAACATCTGTGAAGCATCTCTTCTACAAACTGCATTCAGCCAACTATCATTCCAAATGCTTCAGGATGTATTCATCTTACAGTGCTGTGTGATGAATAAGATATTGTTCAGGGAATCAGCATACCTGTTTTCAATCTCTGTTGTTATAATTGCTCTAATTGCATCACTATTTTATGCCTCATTTTGCTTGCCCACCACTCACTGTCTTACTTATCTGAAATCTTGGCACTTTAGCACAGATGAAAGATGAAAAAATAAATGTTAACACAAAATTACTTTCTTTGATTCTATTATCAAGCCTGGTCCTTGGCAATATTACACTGCTTCCTGTGAACTGAAAAAACTGAAAGCATGCAGCACCCCCTAAATGGTTGTAAGGGCAGCTCAGCCAGGCTCTCAAAGAGACTTATACAGTCCTGCTTGTTTTCAGCTATTAAAACTATTGAAAGCAGGTCATGTTTTGAAGGTAGCCTTTATGACCTTATTCATGATTTTTGAAGCCTGGAGATATGCTATAGTCCAGTTGACCATGAGAGTTACTTTAGTGGAAGAGATCAGAAATCTTGGTGGAAAACGAGTGGAAAGGGAAGAAGTAAATATGTTGTACAGAGGACTAAGGTAGAAAAGAAAGGAGACAATGAAGACAAAGGCACTAATATTTATGTACTAACCATGATTTACATTAAATGATCTAGCAAA